CCGAGTCGCCAGGTCGCTGGGACGAGCCGCCGGTCGACCCCGACAGCTGCGGCACCCGCTCGTTGGAGCGCGGCTGCGACGACAGGCTTGGCCGCCCGTCTTCCGAGGGTCGCCGGCTCGGGTCGCTCGGTCGGAAGCCAGAGGAGCCACTCGTGGCGGTCGCAGAGCTGACGCCGCTGAGCGGCTTGAAGCCCGCGGATGGCTTAAAGCCACTGTTGGCAGCGCTGGCCGCCGCCTCCTTGCCAAAGCCCGGATCGGTGGCGGCGCCAGCGCTCCCGGCGTAGCCCGTGCCGGCGTTGAATCTGGCCGCCGAGGCCGACGAGCCCGTGTCGTTGGGCACGCGGCCCGACTGCATGTTCATGGTCGAACTGCCCAGCCCAAAGTCGTCGCGCTCGCGCTTCTGGATGTCGGTGTAGAACTCGAGCACGTCGAGAACCGCCTGCGGGTTCTTTTCGTAGTCCTCGCGCGTGATGGCCGACGTCGTGAGCAGCTTCGACCACTGCTCGGGCAGGCCCGTGAACGCGCCGCTGATGGGGTCGAAGCCGACGTGCACCTGGTGGACAAAGTTGGTGGGCGACGACACTCCCATCAGCGGCGAGCGCGAGTAGATGTCGTCCATCCAGCCATACAGCTCCTCGTCGTTCTTCAGCTGGAGGTAGTAGGTCTTTTCCTTGGTCTCAATCTCGATGCAGTACGGCTTGAGATCCGTGCGCGTCACGTTGCTGATGTCCTTGAGGAAGATGAGCGCCGCCGCTTGGTACGTGGTCTATCGCGTGTTGGCAGAACGAGACAGGGGATGAGGAATCCCTGGGTCAGACCGGCCGGCTCCTTGTCTCGCAACCGGTGCAGCGCTGCGAGGGGGGCCGGGACAGATCCGGACACTCACCTCATTCTTGTGAAACGTGAGCGTCTGCTCTCGCAGCGCCAGCCACCGCTTGCTCCAGATCCACGAGCGGATGCCATCCTCCTTGACGCTGACGTAGCCTTTGCGGACGACGCTGGTGCTGCTCGTCGTCGCGCCCGGCCCGGCGGCCTGCCAGCCGGAACCCGAGCCGAACGAGGATCCGCCCGCCGCGCCGGGGCCGGCAGGACGCAGCGGTCCAGTGTAGGAACCGCCGCCCGCGCCTTGTCCCGGGGCTGGAGCAGAACCGCCGGCGTTTTGGTAGGCCGACAGAGGCGGCAGAAAAGGGTCGTTGTGCTTGCTGTTCGGCACCGGCGGAGCGCGGCGCGAGGGTGTGAGGGAGCCGAAGGAGGAGGATGGGGTGACCTCCGAGGGCGTCGAAGCGCCCGATGCGCTGCGGAAGCCAGACATGGGTTCGAGCTAAGCGCTGCGTGATATGAGTGGGAGGGCGAGATGCGAGTGCGATCGGTCGCTAGCTCAATGTAGGTAGGGAGAGGGGGCCCGAGTCGATCAAGCCTTGGTCGAGCGACGGATGTCTAGATGGGGAGCTGATCGGCACCAAGCAACGCCAAACTGTCGGCGTCTTTGAGCGGTCGAGCGAGAACCAAGGCAAGCTCCGTCTGATCGACCAGGATCAAGCTCGTGCGTCGGGATCAAGCGGTGTTTGCGTGCGCGGCACGGTCTAGGAGGCCACCAGCTGTCAGTCGGCGAGAAGGGTTGAGCGTGGCGGCGTCGGAAGCGCGGAACGCAAGAAGGCGGGCGTAGCGTAAGAGCAAGGCTGGATGTGGTGGTCGCCAGCGTGCCCCCTATCAGATGGAGAGCAGGGCGATGGGAGCGAGGCAGTTAACCAGGTCGTGTGCCGGCGAACGCCGCACCGAGATCAAGGTGTAAGGCGAAGAGAAGCCAGCAAGACTCAGAGGGCGCACGGGAGGCAAGGCGGACGAGAGGGACGGTCAGGGGAGGGAGGAGGTAGCGACGATGAAGGGAAGGAGCGAAGACAACCAAGCAAGCAGCAGCGGGCAAAGAGAGAGGTGGGTCCGAGCCACGAGAGGAGGCGGCCAGACAGAGGTGCCAGAGAGAGAGTGGCACGCGCGGGGGAAAGGGGCCTGGTCGAAGGGAACGGCCCAGCAGCAGCAGCAGCAGGCTAGGTAGGCTAGGAGGAGCCCAGGCGAGAGGGCGAGGGCCGGAGCACGGCCGCCCTGGGCAGGAGGCACCTGGGCCGTCTTCAGAGGCAGCCCAGATCCAAAGCCAGAGCCAGAGCCAGAGCCAGAGCCAGGCAGGGTGGTTCGAGCGGATGGCCGCCCGCGACTCTCTGCCCGCGTGCGTGCGTGCTGCCTGCCTGCTCTCGCTCGCCTCGGTGGCCTGCTGGGCTCTTCTTGCCCACCAGACAGCGCAGCATCTTCCCAGGCCTCTGGTTTGCTGGCCTGGCTTCGCGTCCTGACCTGACAGGCCGGAGGTGCTGCTGCAGCTGCAGCTGCCGTCGTCGTCGTCGTCGTCGTCGCCGCCGCCGACTCGCCGGTGGCGCTGCCAGGCCAGGTCAGGCCAGCTGCAAGCCGGACGCCCCTTGCGTTTTGCTGCTGCTGCTGCCGCTGCTGCTGCTCGCTCCTCGTCGCGGGCGGGCGTCGCGGTTTCAAGCGGCCAGGCAAGGCTTCGAAG